TTCCTATTTTTTTGTTGTTGGGCCGGGGGGGGGGGGGGGGTTATTTTATATATCACTAGTATATGTAACTGGGGAGGATTGGGTTGTTTATATAGGTGCGTATATTAGTATCTGGCATAATTATATATCTTATCTATATATGTATTGACTGTTGTGTATATACCCATGATGCAGGACCTAATCCACCTCATCACACCTTACTGGCAACTGTAACCTCCGTCGTAGGAATAGGGTCATCAGGATGACCATCAACCTCATCAACCTCACTCTCGCGTCTGGCCTGGTCATCGTCGACAGGGTCCTCAACAACCCTCCCAATGACCCCCCTAGCAGTATCTCTCCGATCTAGATACGCCACAAGCCCAATAAACGGAAGGGTCAACGACCCCGTAACCAAACTAGCCACATACCCTTTCTCAAAATGCGGCGCATCCGTAACCGGATAAAACACCAACGGCCACCAGGTGACAAACGCAAAATCAAACGAGTTCATGAACCCTGTCGTGATGGCCCGCAGCTGCAGATCGTGGCTCGTTACGTCCGCCATCCACGAGTACCAGAGGGCCTGGGGCGCATAGGTCGTGCCCAGCAGGTAGAAGGCGAAGAAGTGGCCCGCGTCGGCGGCCGGGTTGGCTACAAGGATTGCGCTGCCGATGACGAAGGTTAGCCCGATTGCGAGGGAGCATTCCCAGCGCGATTGCAGTCTGTCGGAGATTGCGGAGTAGAGGATTGTGCCGAGGATGGCGGTTGCGTAGATGCCGGTTGGGTAGTTGTTTTGTTGGATGGTTGTGTAGCCGCGGGAGGACATCCAGAGGGCCATTACGTTGTTGCTTAGGGATTGGACGCAGAGGGAGTAGACTTGGTTTTCTTTTGTTAGACTTGTGGGGTGGTCTTTTCTTCGGAGGAGGAAGGGGAAGGGGCTCACGCATGAAGATGAGTGGCAAGAGGTAGAATTGCCAGCTGAGCAAGACGCGCTTCAGCACGGTGCGATCCCACGTTTGCTTGGATGTCTGGCCCAATCGGTGCGCGGCGTGCTCTTTCTCTGCTTCGTTTAGATACCATGCTGCGCGATGTGCCGGAAGATCAGGGATGAAGAACCATCCTAACAGCCCTTGTATCAGTATCTGAAGATGCACTTAGCTTCCCGAGGACATACCGAATAATGCAACGGGAATCGTCATCACTGAGACGATGATAAAGATCCATCGCCACGCAGGTAAACCACCGTGACCGGCTAATGCCTTCAGAAGTCCGGCTTGGATCCATCCGCCGGCCATACTACCAACATGGCCGAAGCAGCAAAAGACGGCCGCTCGAGTGCCTAGCTCGGATTTGCGATACCAAGACCCCAAGATAAAGTGTGCACCCACACTGCCAGCATGTCAGACGCAAGGGACATCACATCACCTGGTGCAGGGTGCTACTCACTAGGCAATCGCGGAGAAACCACCCTCAATGGCATTCAGCAGAATAACCTGCCAGGCCTGAGTCATTCTGTAGGTGATAAGAGTGAGCACGCTCCATGTCAGGTTGGCTGCGACGAAGACATATTTGGGCCGCACAACGGTCAAAAGACTCGTCCCGGGGATTTGGCAGACAGCGTAGACGACCAGATAGGCGGTGTTCATGTAATTGTAGTCTTTCCCCTGGAAGTTCAACGCCTCGCGCATGCCACTGATATATGCCGACGAGTAACTGGCTCGCGTTACACCGAACAGAAACCAGATGAGGGAAAAGTAGGGGAGCAGCGTGAGATCTAATTTCGCGAGTAGGGCTCGATCCTTCGGCTCCCTTCCCCAGAGGATCGTTGCGATTCTATTCATGGTCGGGCGAGCCATGGCGATAAGCATTGCTGTACACTCCCGGCATCGGTTAGATTAAGGGTTTATCCCGGTGTTTATTTAAGGGTTCGGTCGGGGAGTCGCCTTAAAAGGATCGTGATGATCACGCAAAATGAGGGGAATCCGGCGACTTATTTATCTCCGGGCGCCGAACGAGAGGCGGATGCATGGAATGCTTGCAGAGAGGTTAGGGCTTTACACCTCAGCTATTTCATATCCTTGAATAAAGCTTGTAGATTTTGACTGATTCTCAGAGAATGAACATGATCAAGGTTGTGCGCGTACCGAAGGCAACAGCAAGCAATGCGGCAGCTGACGCAGGCGCGATCGCAGTCATCTTCAAGTTGTACACATGCTTGATAGACACAGCTATATCCTATGCACAGTTCCGCTTTCAGTCCCAGTCATTTGAAGAAAAACCGGAAGCGTCAAACAAGCAGAGATAACTTGAACCTGCCCAACGACCAAATGTCACATTGACAGCTGAGCACGGACGGAGAATGACTGGAAATACGGTTATATTTAACTGACGCCATATCGGGTGGAAATGATACATGAGATAGAGCCGACCAGGGTGAATGGATAGTGTATCACCATGATAGCTCTCCTTCGCCAACATGCACATCACCTCATTGGAAAATAATCTTCAGATTCCATGTCTGGCAAGATCCTGTTCGGTCGCAATCCACCACCGCATCTGGCATCGAGACCGTTGCCACCTTCCGCAAATCATCGCCCAAGCGAAGTTCATCCATCCTTCGTCTGTCCACTCGTCCAACTTGTTGGAAGCTCTACAATCTATTCTCGCAACACTCAAACCGAAGGTTCGAACCGCCATAAACCCAAATGCCAGCAGTTAGTGCTATGATGATGACATAGCCGGCATCTCTATACGGCGATGTCTATCCAAAGAGTGATCGTGTGACTTGTCTCTGCAACTACTTTGCTTGGCTTGCTCTCTTTGACCACACATTTCCGCTTAAATCCCCTTAATCATGGCGGTGCCGTGGTTTTGGCTAGCTTATTCCTGCATGAGCTCTGCTATGGCTTGACTTGAGGGGCTGTCCCGACGGAGCAATATCATTGTCCGAGTACCATAATCCGATGAGCTATACGAGGTTGACCCAACTATGGCTACAGAGGGGATTGGAATCTTTGTAAGCCTGGCCTTTGATCTTATAAACCGGTCATTCTTCTCCATAATGCACTATTGAAAATCAACACTGACAAACATGGCGTCGTCAGTTAACGAGTCTACAACTACTCATTATAATGACTGGCCAAACGCACAAGGTGTAAGTCGTATTCGCTATCATATTCAACAGCCTCATTGACAGACCAGTTTGATGTCCGCTATCAAGAGCTTGAGCCGACAGAGTTACCGGTCCAGGGTACAATTCCGCCCTACTGCGCCGGCGTGCTCTTTCGCAACGGGTTAGGCCCTCGCGATATCCAGACGGAGAAACAAACCACTTATCGTGTGAGCCACTGGTTCGACTATTTTGCTCAGGTCCATCGTTTTCAGATTCATGCTCCTACACCAGAACAGCCCCGGGTCCGTGTCTCACACAACTCCCGACTGACCTGCGACGGCCTCATCCGAAGGATACAACGAACAGGATATCGTGGAGAGATAACCTTTGGAGCCAAGTATGATCCATGTATGTCGATCTTCCAGAAGGCGCAATCAGTTTTCAAGACCATTCCACAAGGAGTTCCCGACGAGGTTGACATCAGCGTCACTTTGAACGTCAATTTCCCGGGCTTGTCGGCTACAGGCAGCAAGCAGGAAAAGATGGCTGGGCCAGGCATCGAGACACTTTGCAACCGCACCGATAACTCTACTTTCCAGATGCTCGATCCCCAAACCCTGGAACCAATTGGTATTGCGGACCAAACAGTCCTGCATCCCTCTCTCCGGGGACCCCTTAGCGCGGCCCATTGCAAGACGGACCTGGCCACCGGCGATGTCTACAACTACAACCTAGACATGGGTCTAACAAACACCTATCGTATCTTCCACGTTTCTCGCGCAACAGGGAAAACCAGCATTCTCTCAACGTTCAGGCATGCTGCTACATATGTGCACTCTCTTTTTCTGACGGAGCACTACGTCGTGCTCTGTCTTTGGAACGCTCGCTTTCGTGCCGGAGGCATATCCCTGCTATGGACACACAACTTTGTAGATGCATTGACCGACTATGATCCTACACAGCGCAGCACTTGGTTCGTGGTAGATCGTACTCCTGGAGGACGGGGATTGATTGCGCGCTACGAGTCCGATCCCTTCTTCAGTTTCCACACTATCAATGCATATGAAGAGCCTTCATCGATTGACCCCTCCAAAACAGATATCATCGCCGACGTTTGTGCATACGACAGCTTAGACGTATTAAACCGTTTCTACATCGACAACTTACTGTCCGACTCCGCTACAGCGCAGAAATTTGGCGATTCAAAGAATCACAGGGCTCGCGGCGCTTTTCAACGCTTCCGTCTGCCTGCCGTTCCCGAAGCATCGAATTCCAAAACCCTCACGGCGGAACTCGTCTTCTCGATGGGAAAGGGACTAGGACCGGAACTTCCTCGTGTCAATCCTCGGGTAGGCGGCCGCAAGTACCGCTACGTATATGGCGTGACCGACTCAGGAAAAAGTGTTTTCCTGGACGGTCTAGTCAAACATGACGTCGCCACGCAGACATCTCTCTATTGGAGTCAGCATGGGCAGACGGCCAGTGAGCCGATTTTTGTGGCCGATCCGGATTCAGAAGATGAGGATGGTGGTGTACTTCTGTCCGTCGTGCTGGACGGCATTGAAGGACATAGCTATCTGTTAGTTCTCGATGCAAAGACGATGGCAGAGGTCGGGAGAGCTACGGTTCATGGTGTGGTTGGCTTCGGGTTTCATGGTGCACATGTTCGGGACCCTTAGCTTGTTTTCCCCTTGTCTGTTTTACCCCCTACGGTCTTGGGTCCTTTAGACCTTGTATACTTGATGTTATGCTGCTTTGTATAGTTCTACCTTTTTTATATCAGCATTGTCTCGAAGATGACAGTAAGGATGTAGCTTTAATTCTATATAGTCCAAACACGATCCTTAGTAATGCAGATGAACGATGTTATCACGTTGTTAAATAAACAACTATCATAGAAATACGTAGTCCTGATCCCAGCGAGTCTAACATGGCAAACCGAAGAGTTGAACACAAGCGGGATTTATATCATGACTTGTTGACCACTCGGGACGCGATTCATCGATGACCAAGCATCCTTCAACAGCAAAGACAATAAGTCCCTCCGAAACTCGAGCATTGCTCCGCGACCTAACATCATGTGGTGGCCACATGCAATTTCTTGTGGTCTCTACCGGAAGATCCAGGGACAGCATAATACCCTCATATTCATGGCATGACCGCTAACACCCGGACGTAGCAAACACATATGCACATCAGAATTCGAGCACAGTTGCCCAATGGGGGCATACGGGCATCGACTGGACCCTGACGTGGCCTGAGGATCGAACACTATACGCTACGGAAGCGAGTTAGACCTCCTCTTTGGACAGGTCACTTTTGGACACAGGATCAAAAGCCGAGTTTGGTCCGAGGAGAGTTAAAGTGACTGCATTGGCAACTCTGAACATCGATTGAGTCAAGCCGTATGAGCTATGTAGACCGCTCAATTGGTAGACTCTGGACAGGAAGTCTAAATCAATCGAAAGCCGCCACCGACAGACGCAGAGGAGCTAAGATTAGCGAGTGGATCAGCTTCCCCGGATTCTTACGGCGCCCTTCGTCCGGATTTTCTTCGACGGTTTCTACTTAAAAAGGAGCTGGGATGATCTAGATGCGGGTGAACCCGGCTGGTTCTCGGGAAGGACCGTCAGTGGGATCTGAGTCAGCTGAGCTCGGCCAGGCCACATTTGCGGATGCGCCCTAATAGGAAATTTAGGAGAAACGATACCGTAATGGAACGCTCGGAATGCCGGACGCCAGCTGGTGAGGAGAAAAGTGGAATTGGGTCGCCGTTTGAGTCATACCCATCGTTAACTAACTAACGTTACGTTTACTAGGGAACGATGTTATGCGGCATTGTACACGCATACACCGAGTACATACTCGGCATATCTCTGTCGGTACGGGGTCGCGTATGTATGTCCACCGTGACAGTTCGTCATTGCGATAAGAATCCCTGTCCATGCGGCAGACGATTTAGGTCTAGAAGGGCGGAGGAAGCCTTAATGGGAATCCCTTTCCTTCTGTCCGTCATTCCTGTGTAGGGCACTGTTTATAAGAGAGCTTCATACCCACTGGAGGATCTCCATTGCAGATAGACATTTCCCCTCATAAGGCTTGCCCGACTCTTTGAGTGCTTCTCCTCACCAGCAGAAACCTGCCCCTCATTCTCCAACCCACCCCCCTGCAGGAAAATCGATTATCCCAGAGGGAAGAGTGTTAGTTAAAGAAAGAGTAATAGTACGTTTAGTAATAATTAGGGTCGGAACCGGACCCAGTTTATTGGGAGGGCATCTGGGCCCCGGCGGCATCCTCAGGCTGCAAATCCCTCGACCCAGTTTTTCTGCCCCATTCACAGACGTGGAAACGCTCCTAATTGGGAAGGCATAAGCCCGGCGGAACCTTGAAAGAGGCCGAAAGAGTAAGCAAGACACCCAGCTTCCAAGGCTCCAAGGCGTACGGGTCATTGACACACCGATTCGCCCAAAACAGCTACTTTCTTATCGCGTCACTCCTCCAACGCCTCCGAAAACCAAATTTTTTTTTTTTAGTTTTTTTTTTATTAGCTTGACGAAACGGATCTGACTCAATTGTCAATTCAATTGGAATCCGAACTCAGTTTCCAGATTCTTTTCTCCTTCTCTCCCCTCTTCACTCTCTCTCCCTCTCCACTCCTCCCCCATATTGGGCGACCACATCCGACAATGGTTGGAAGTGCGCTTGCTATCCGGTCCAAGATGGCTACGCCGTCAGTCATGTCGTCGCTGTCGCGCAGGTCGCTCTCGACGCGCCCTCATGCCCTGCGCTCCGCTCGTCCCTTGAGATCTAGCGGTTTCTCCCAGCAGCCCGTTCAGCGCACCGCTCGCCGCTCGTACGCTGACGCCGCGCCCGCGCCGAAACCTAAGAAAGGATTCAGGTTCTTGCGCTGGGCCTGGCGCTTGACCTTGCTCTCCGGTCTCGGCCTGACAGGTTATGTAGCATATAGCATCTATGACCTCCGTCATCCCATCGAGCAGATTGGACCCGACCCCAAGAAGAAAACCCTGGTGATCCTCGGTAGGTTCCCTCAAATCCGGTGTCTTCACCATTGATCTGGTTACACAATTTGGACATGCGACTAACCCCGCGCAGGTACCGGATGGGGCTCTGTTTCTCTTCTGAAGAAGCTGGATACCGAGAACTACAATGTCGTCGTCATCTCCCCCCGCAACTACTTCCTTTTCACCCCTCTGTTGCCGTCCTGCACTACGGGTTTGGTCGAACATCGCTCGATTATGGAGCCCATCCGTAACATCACGCGCCAGAAGAATGCCTACGTCAAGTTCTACGAAGCCGAGGCGACCAAGATTGACTATGAGAAGCGTGTCGTGTACATCAGTGACGACTCCGAAATCAAGGGTGACATCTCCAAGACTGAGGTGCCTTTCGACATGCTTGTTGTCGGTGTCGGTGCTGAGAATGCAACCTTCGGTATGTAACCTACAGTAGCCCCAGCGAGGTAACCAACGCTGACTTGCACATCCAATAGGCATCAAGGGTGTCAAGGAGCACTCTTGCTTCCTGAAGGAGGTCGGCGATGCCCAGAAGATCCGTACGCGTATTATGGACTGTGTCGAGACCGCTATCTTCAAGGACCAGACTGAGGATGAGATCAAGCGTCTGTTGCACATGGTGGTCGTCGGTGGTGGCCCTACTGGTGTTGAGTTCGCTGGTGAGATCCAGGACTTCTTCGAGGAGGATCTCAAGAAGTGGGTTCCTGAGATCAAGGAGAACTTCAAGGTCACCCTTGTTGAGGCTCTTCCCAACGTGCTTCCCATGTTCTCCAAGCAGTTGATTGACTACACCGAGTCGACCTTCAAGGAGGAGGCTATCACCATCCGCACGAAGACCATGGTCAAGAACGTGACTGATAAGTACATCGAGGCTGAGGTCACCAAGCCCGACGGAACCAAGGAGTTGGAAACCATCCCCTACGGTCTCCTGGTTTGGGCTACCGGTAACGCCGTCCGCCCTGTTGTCCGGGACCTTATGAGCCAGCTTCCTGCCCAGAAGAACTCGCGCCGTGGTCTTGCTGTGAACGAATACCTGGTGGTCAATGGCGCGGAGAACGTTTGGGCCGTCGGTGACTGCGCCATCACCAACTATGCCCCCACTGCTCAGGTTGCTGGCCAGGAAGGTGCTTTCCTTGCTCGTCTCTTCAACACCATGGCTAAGACCGAGGCGGTCGAGGATGACCTGAAGCAACTGTCGGAGGCTCAAGCACAGGCCAAGAGCCCTGAGGAGCGCAACCAGATCTTCGATGAGATCCGCGAACGCCAGAAGCAATTGCGCAGAACCAAGCAGATTGGCCCCTTCCAGTACTCCCACCAGGGAAGTCTGGCTTACATCGGAAAGGAGCGTGCGGTTGCAGACATCAGCTGGCTGAGCGGCAACATCGCAAGCGGTGGTACCATGACCTATCTTTTCTGGCGCAGTGCTTACCTGAGCATGTGCTTCAGCAGTAAGTGATCCCTTTCGCATTCCTATACAAGCAAACAGGATACCCGTGCTAACACACGAAACAGCTCGTAACCGTGTCCTGGTCGCCGTCGACTGGGTCAAGGCCAAGATGTTCGGCCGTGACGTCTCTCGGGAGTAAACCAGTCTCTCGCAAATAGATTTGGAACCAACTGTATCACCAAAAACAGCAGATATGCTACGTCTATGATTTCGGAGCGAGAATCCTTGTTTCCCCCCGTTTATTCTACCGTTCTACCTTTTGATGCCCGTTCACATGACCCTTTACCATCTCTCTTTTCTTGTTTCTTTATCCTCCCCATTGAAAATGAATGGGACACTCACCATCCACCCCGTCAATGCCCACCTCCCTCTTTCCACATCTAGAAGGTCCACTTGATATCCCCACGAGACCCGCCTTGAAGGATAGCCCCCAAGGCACGCTGGAAATGGAAAAAGAAGAGAAGAACAAAAAGCATTAATCTTTCTCTCTGTGTACGAAATCGATAGACCGGTTGTGGGTTTACTGTTTATTTAGATTTGTTAGATTTGGCCATAATCATTCTATATTCTTTCTTTTGTTCATCTACGTCTCCTTGAATTTTTCCTATCTTTGAATCGCTGTCATAATATCTTTGGTAAGGAGGTCGTGTATTATTATGGTTTATAAATACGGTTCCTTCTATTGTGTATTGGAATGTTTATGGATTATTTTCTAGATTGTCCAAGTTCGTTACTGTGAGTTACAGTGTAGGGTTGCATTATGTCAAATGTAGATATTTCTATCCATGCTAGATAATTTTCACATGAACGTCTGATAAAGGGAGAGGTACAATGAAGGAATGAATAAACCAAGCACTCGCTGTGCTAACGCCTATCCTGAAGAGATTCTTTGAGCTATAAACAGACCCTATTGGTGGTATGGTATACAGGAAGCTAGGTAAGAGAAGTAAAGAGAAAGGAGGTGAAGGGAATGTAATGTGGCGGGAGCTATGACAGAGAGGAAGGAGAGGGAGCGAAGTAGTAGGTAGTGGAGGAAGAGATCTAACCAATTAGAACAAGTTCCAGCCACGATTTCTCTGCTCTTTGGACAGGGGGCGGTCGGTGTTTCTATGCTTGCTGCGACCGTCCAACTGGCGGATGCTTTCGATTTTCTGCAGGGCTAATTCGAGGAGCTCCTTCTTCTTGATCACGTCAAGATGTCTCCGGATGCGAGGGTCCTCGCGAGCGAAGCGTTCTACTTCTGCGTCGGAGAGGTGACGGCCTAGCCTCATGTCCAGTTCTCGGGGGAAGTTGTAGTAGAACTCTGATAGAAGCTCGACGTTGAGGAATAGTACCGCGGTTGACGTGAGCTTGTCTGCGACGACGTCGAGGAAGACTTCGGGGCAGTAGTACTTGTTCTTCTTGCTGGCACATTGCTTTGAGCGGACGGCGAGAAGTCTCATCTTAAGGAGATCCGCTCGATCGCGTAGGAAGGCGCTTTCACGACCTGGTTTTGATTAGCCTTCTCTGTTGGTAGCAAGGGGGACGTAGACATACCTGTGGCTAGCAGGGCAGAACTGAATCCACCTGCACCACCAGCGCCGTCGCCTTCCAAGACCACTTCACCTTTCCTGACCTTGTCTATGAATGACATCACATCCCTGATCTTTCTCCTCCCAACAGAGTCCTCAACACGTTTCAAAGCTGCCTCACACGCCTTAAGCTCCTCCTTTAGCACTCTTGTTATGTTTTCCCTTCCCTTAGCCCACTCCGGGTCTTCAACTTCGATTTCGTACTTATAAGGCTTGATGCAGTTCTCGACTTGATCGCTGGTGCTGAAGAATCGATCATTCAGGATGCTACTGCAAGCATCTACGATCTGCTTTTGAGCATACGGGTGGGAGGCGAAGGTAGAACTGGCCAACAATGACTCAACATGATTCTGGATTGCATTCGCAACAACCGTCGTAGCAAGCCTGCCGATTCCCAGTTTGGTCAAGGAGGATGTCGACGCGTCGAGCTTACGGCGCCAATACATTGACTCCGGATCGGCCTTGGGAAGGTCAATGAGGGGATCCAACTCAGGCATCGGAGGGTTCAAGTCGTCGATTGGCTTATTCCAATATCTCTGAGCGAGGATATCCATGACGCGTTGATCGAGCTCATTTTTCAGCATCTCACGAACCTGGGGGCGGCCAAAGTTCTCCGCGAATGCCTTGAAGGAGTGCTTGAAGCTGTCCAGGCTCTCGGCGAGATAAGACTCTGCGCTCAGTGGACGATCATTATATTGAACCTTGAACTCGTACGTCGCTTCTTCCAGTTCCTGGCTGATAGCGTCCCTAGTACCCGCTAGGCTAGATGCCATCGTCTGTTCAAGAACATGCATAAGCTTGGTTCGCAAAGTTCCAACGCCAACCGACACCTCTGACTGAGGCCCAAACTCGGAGGGATGAGAAGAAAAATAGGCATTTTCATTCTTAATGATCGCGCTCGTGATGTTGCTGCTTCCCCGAGAAGAAAACAAAGCGGTCGTCTGGGGGATTCGCGAGACCACGCCCACGTAGCCCAGTCGAAGAGGGTATTTCTTATCAGTAAGAATGCTATAGCCACGTTCCGGGTCGACAAGGTCCATCTTTGTGATGACACCGATCGTCCTTTCACCCCTAGGGTCTACCCTGCGACTTGCTCTTAATGCTGTCGAATTGGCAAGATCAACATCAGCCGCAGATATGGCTAAGATAACATTTGGTGCTTGGATGTACTTGTCACATAGATCAGAGATCTTTTGCTTCAACTGTGGAGGTTGACCTTGGCCAGAAACCTGGATATAACCTGGGAGATCAATGAGGGAAAGATCGGGAACATTAGGAGAATAGATGGTAAGTTGAATTGGGTCGTCGCTGACACAATCCCTCTCAGGGACTGCCAAGTTAAGGTCGGTCAAGGTGCGTTGGATTGAAGAGAAGTCGGTTATCTTTCCTAGTCCGAGTGCTGGGAATTCTCCATATTCTGCCTGTGCGTGAGGAGTATTGACCAAGGTAAGTTCGATTGGCCGCCGGGTAACCATATTCGAGCCTTTGGGAAGGAATTCATGACCAACGATGGCTTCGAGAACGGAGCTTTTGCCGGATGACTGCGAACCAATGACTACAATTGATGGCAATGTAAGCGTGTTGGACTGGCCAACAGCCTGGAGTATGTTCCTGATCTCGATCATTTTACGAGTAAGAAGCATCATCTGGTCGTCCTCCGCATTCCTAGTCAATCGGGCGTGCTCATCATCTTGGTCGTAACCCAAAGCCGCCGCCCCAGCAGCTGCAGCGGCACCAGCCCGGCTTTCTCTTGGGGGTTGCCCTCCTCCCCCGGAACCGTCGTTTTGGGAGCCTTCACTGAAGCCTAGGATGTTTTGCAACCATTCCGGAACTTCCACACTATCTGTAGTCCTTTGCCAACCACGTTGTGTCTGTTCGGCCACATTCTGGATTTCGGAGAAGATGGAGGAAGCAGCGTCACCGGCCGACTCCCCTGCGCGTTTCAGCACATCAATAGCATAGTTTCCTGCCTCTATAGCAACCATAAATATTAGATGAATAGTTCCTGAGATTGGGTTATAATAACATACGTGTAGTTTGATATTGGATATAAGCTAACCCAGCTACTGTAGCCGTTCCAAGCATTGCGGGCACCTTAACTAGTTTTAGTGCCAGCTTCGGAAGGATCCTCGCAAAAGAGATCCCCCGCACAGCGGGGACATTATGAATCGAGTTCGCACCGACAGGCCAGGCGCGTCCTCGAAGTGCGGCGCTGCCATCTGAACGTAGAAGACCTCCGGTCCTTGCACCAGCATTATGAACATGGCGGGCCAAAAAGCCCGTCCGCAAGAGCGGAACAAGACGGTGGGAGAGGATTCTCCCGCTCATGGTTCTCGAGATCGCATACACATCAAGCGGATTGAAAGGATAGAATCGGTCATCTCCGGGCTAGAAGCCACGGCGGTAGACTCAGGTTGGTGGTGCGTCGAACAATAGCAGTAGCAACAAAATAATCGGATGTCATAATGGCCGTCCCACGCGAAGGCAACCCGAACCCCCGGCACGGAGAACCTCGTGACCTGCGCTAATGGCCGCTTCGCCGTCTGTATAAAGTCGGTGTGAGTCACGTGTGGATGAAATGGCGACATTGATGTCTTTGGTAGTACTGAAGCACAGACGTAGATATATTTATACATCTTACTCCTGAAGATACTTTGTATTTATTTGAATTGAATTAATTCTGTACTTTAACTCCGTTCTATTTGTTTCGTGGTCGCTGGGCTTTATCCTTTGTCAATTGTGGAACAAAACGCATCTCTAAACCTCTCCAGAAGCTGCGACTTCGGCCGCCGGGCAATAGAATTGCTACACCGTACTCCGGCTACGTCCATAGCTATATCCCTTTCCTGGAACCCATTCTATCGCTGATTTCCTGGTCGCAAACACTAAAATTCCTTTAGAGAGAGCTTCACTTCTCTAGTCATGTGCCGTTTTCTGGTAAATCAGTCTATACAATTTCTATGCGTCATACAACTGACCGCTATTTTTACCAGGTATACAAGGGCCGACATGAGATACGTCTCAGCAAATTAGTAACAGAGCCCAGTCATTCAATTCTGACTCAATCATATGATTCCCGCCTTAGACTGGTAAGTAACAACTTGAACCATGACCTGAAGACTTCACGCAGCCCTTTCTGTATAATCGAAACATAATTTAACTCGCTGATTACAGGATAACCGCCGTCCAGTAAACGGCGATGGCTTCGGAGTAGGGTTCTACACGGACCCCAAGCTCGGCCCAGAGCCATGTATTTTCACATCCACACTCCCAGCCTGGAACTGTGAGAATCTTGAGCGATTAGCATCCAAAACCAGCTCCAATCTGATCTTCGCGCATGTCCGCGCAACCACGGAAGGAGCCCTATCAGATAATAACTGCCACCCGTTCCAACACAACACGTTGATGTGGATGCACAACGGCAACGTTGGTGGCTGGCAGTATATCAAGCGGCCGCTGGGCGATTCCCTCGCGGATCGCTGGTATCTGGGCGTGAAAGGCGGCACAGATAGCGAATGGGCTTTTGCATTGTTCCTTGACCTCTTGGAGAAGGAGGGTGTTGATCCGAGTTCGGATCCAGGCCCGGAGGGCTTCGGACAGGCGCTCCTACGACGGGTGATGGTTAAGACTATTGCAAAGATCAATGAGTTCATTCGGGATATCCCCAAGAGACATAATGTTTCTGGTATTGAGACCCGCAGCTTGCTCAATTTTGCTGTAACGGATGGCCATACGGTGGTTTGTACGCGGTATATCAGCAGCAAGACGGATGAACCTGCCAGTTTGTACTTCTCATCTGGTACCAAATGGAAGGAGGGAAAGGTCAAAGGCCACTTCAAGATGGAACGTCACGATAAGGGAGCCGATATTGTCCTAGTGGCAAGTGAGCCGATTACGTTTGAGAGACGTGAGTTACAACCTACTTAGTCCACAGGGTTGGGGGCTAACTTGTATAGATAATTGGGTTTCGGTTCCCGCCAACTCGATTGTAACTATCCATAAGCAGACGGTCCTTCTACATCCCATCATGGATGAGTTCTATAGCGAGGACTTGAACCAGGACCGCTCCTCCTGCTATGCTGTGTCGAAGGGCCTCGTTAGTACGGCACCTGGAACAACAGTCCAACCTCAAAACACTGAGTCAAAGGCTCCTGCAATTAGCGTCAATGGTGCTAGATTAGATGATCCCGCCGGAGGACTAGGCCAGCATCAACTAGAGTTCGCTAATAAATGTGCAATTTCACATTGAGGGCTTTTGCATGCTTTGAGGTATTAAGCTGGACTTAATGATAACCAACAATTGAGGTCATTGGCGTTGGTAATGGGTCGGGGTATTCTTTTTGTCTCTGATACGGGGTAACATCATTTAATCTTAGCACACATAGTCCTGACAGGGTCTCTTCGGGGTTATAATTAGAAATTAGTTATCACATAGGGTGTCCTGAGTTCCAGGTCATTGGCATCGTGGCGTTTAACAAACAATACAAAATAAAACAAAGAAATGTATTATACAGGAGTGGCAGGCATTATGTATCGTCACCCGATATATTGGCATGCTTAAAATACTTCATGCCCACCCACGCAACCACAACCCATACCCATGACATGACGGCCGTCAAGATGATCAGAGCAGGATAATACCCAATAATAGGGAGTGTCGGATCATCCTCAGCTCCGGAGGCGCATAGGGAGTTTCCCCAACATCCCAAGCCCAGCTCCAGACACCAAAACAACTGCCCATCCCCACAACGAACACAAGCCATGTCACTACCAGGATAATCCAGCCCCACCACTCCGTCTCCGAGTAATCCCAGTTCATATCCTGACTACTAGTTATGTCAACCGCATGCGTCGCAAGAGGAGATTTGGTACGATGCATAGCTCGGTATGTTGAGTCCGCCGAAAGCGCATAATAGGAGTCCGAGCTCGAAGAAGCGGACTGAAGATGTAAGCCCGCGGCGGCAGCAACAGCGGCATTTGTATTTTTCAAACGAGGAAAAGACACAATATCCTCATCATCAGTAATTATATCTCCGCCAAGGATACTGTTTTGGGTGTGGTTCTGCCGGGGATGCTGAGCGGATTGATCCAGTGCCTTTGGCGGCGTATTCATGAAACCTTCCCATACCATATCGTCCGGATGACTATCTTGTTCCGCATTTCCGTGGGGCACGACATTTTGGTCTGGGGAAACAGTGTCAGGTAACGGTTGTTGTGTTCGTGAGCCTGTGGCAAGCTGTTGCTGTTGTCCGATAACATCTGCCCGTGGCATGTCGATCGGTGTTCGGGTAGCTTTTTTATCTCGATATTCGAATCGCGTGCCTAGTAGGGCGGTTTTTCGAAGGGAACCCCTCCTCCTTCGCGTTCTTCGCTGTTGTAGTGCGCTAGCCATTGCCCTGCCCCCCCGTACACTAGAACCAAAACCATCGCTATCATCACGGTCGATGCCGGAATGAGCCCGCTCCGGGTTGTTATGAGTCGCTTGTGTCATACGGAGAAAAGAGAGTTTGGATAATAGGGAGCCGGATGAGTTGCGCTTGTGTCCACTGCTTGCGCTCTCTGAGCGCGTCCGTCCGGAGAGCTGATCATCGTTATCCAACGATAGTGCCACTCTGTTGCTGTCGCTTGCATCTTCCATTGGCGCAAGCTGGGCGTTATTAGCTCAGCTGGCCTTTAGCCACCAACATCCAGATTTATGTTCCTAGGATTATATGTTGGCAGATTCCATCAAGCAAGATGGTTATGGTGAGAGAGTACGAAGGGGAGAGTTGACGCCGCCCGAGCCAAGCCAGCCGAGCCTCCGAGGCGGTACCTTCAGTTAAGGTACTCTTCACCCATGGGCTTCGGTCAGGTTATCCGAACCATCACCAATGTATGTGTTCTACTTGTTCGGCAGCACTTATGGTGGCGACCGCTACTACTTAGAGAACTATCGTGGAAGAAAAAGATCAAGTCATTATTCATACAACAGCCGTTCTCAAATTGTACTTGTTGCCGATAGCTGTCATGTGTCCGCTAACTAATTGATCCAAGGCAGTAAAAGAGAAAAGGTATCCGAAACTCCAGTGCATCAAGTCGTAATCTGGACCGAGGACAATAATGGTCTCAAGGATGGTATCATAAAGTAAGCATGAGAAAAAGTATCGACGAGATGCAACGCATAGAGGCCTCGGGACCTCGGGGACACGTTAAGCTTGTTAGCGAGGTATAGATAAACTTGAAATGAGAAAAGTCACTGAATAGATGAGAAAGCAAGACCGCTATCAAATCGGAAGAGGAACTTGGCATGTGAGCGTAAAGACACAAGGGCCCATTCATAGGCCAGGCATACATACTAAACGAATACGATACAAACTCATAGAAAGCGACTTATCAAGAAATAATAATCCAAAATAGATAGGGGGTCAGAGGCATAAGGAAACAAGAAGAGGTACTTTTAGTTTATTCCGCAGAACGCTTGAATCGAAAGTCCAAGAAGCTCTTAGTAAAAGTAGCGCACATTCATGGAAAGCAAAGAGCATGAGAAAATTGACTCAACGAAGTGGACTCGGGGTATTGGGTGTACGATAACACACAAATTTCATTTCAAAGAGAAGCATTTGAGAATGGGAGATGCGCTTAGAAATCCACTTAGTAAGGGACAATCATGAAAAAGGGAGCACGGTAAAAAATAAAAGGAGACAATGTGGTAGTACGAAGAGATTAAACGAGAACGGAAAGGAGAGGAGAAAAGTAGAAAGGGAGAAGGAAAGAGCCTCTTCTTAACACAATTGTTGACACAGGCAGCCCTGCTTATGCTCGATTGGTCCATCTAAGGAACGTTCGATAAGGCCGGCATGCAGCGAAGTATACTGGACGATAGGCTACGCTTGGTAGCCTCCAAAGCCATTCCCAAAATTAGCGTTGTTGGCCTGGTTCCAGCCAGAGGCAGGGGCAGCTTGTCCGCGGCCATAACCTGCATTTCCTGGGACCTGGCCATAGTTCTGGCCGCCCATTCCGGACTGATCCCAGCCTCTTCCAGCTGGGTTGGGACCTACGGTTTACCATATTAGCCATAAACCAAAAGTTGCATAAGGATAGGAGGAAATTCACCTTGAGGAGTCATAGGTCCACCGGGTCCGCCGTACTGAGGGAAATACGGGGTTGGGCTGTTATTAAAGGGCGAATTACCCTGTTGACCAGAGAAGTTGTCGAACTGGCCAGTAGGAGGACGATCCTTACCCCACTACAACGGTTAGCAGAACATCAAGTTACGAGAGTTAGAGAAGACCATACACTGCACTTCAGGGGACGCCCATTAACGTTGTACCCGTTAAGCTGGCAGATAGCCATAGCAGCATTTTCGTGACTATCCATCTTGATGAACGCAAATCCGCGATCCGCCTGAAGGCGGGTTTCCAGAACATAACCAAAATTCTGGAAGAGCGGGACAAGATCGTTCTGCGTGGTGTAAGGGGTGAGGTTGCCCACATAGCACGTGGTCTGCCACTGTGGGGTTTGCTGGACAACCATATCGTAGCTCTGAATGCCATGAGTAGGGAAATGATGATGACCGAAAGCCGTTGTCGGGGTCATTCCCATAGCGGCCATCGCTTGTTGCTGAGAAATGGAGGGCTGTCCTTTCTGATTCGCCCAGTTACAACGAATAGCACGAGACCCGAGCCACTCGCCGTCCATCGATCCCAATGCTTTATCTGCATCCGCACGGTCGCGGAATGCAACAAAACCGTAGCCACGGGACCGACCAGTTTTCATGTCCCACATGACACGCGCCTCGGAAACCGAACCGAAGGCCGAGAAAGCCTGTTGCAGGATTTCGTCGTTAACTTCATTGCTCAGGTCTCCAACGAAAATGTGGAAGTGGTTCGAGGTGTCTTCCTTGTTCGAGCTGTTGGACTGGTAAGCCCAGTTGACACGGATTTCCTGCAAATCCCGTCAGAGATAGTTCTAGAACATATAGGAGGCTCGAATAACCATACCGATTGGTGAATGCGGCGTCCGTTGAGAGTTTGCATGGCTCGTTCGGCAGCGCCAGGATCGTCAAATTCAACGAAGCCGTAGTTGTATCCTTTACTGTTGAACTTCTGCGGGGGTTAGTACGTAAGTTGATGTACATTCAGCTGTTGACGGGTATGATTTAGACGACGCACAGAACTCACGTTCTTATCAGGGATGACCTTCACGCTGACAACGTGTCCAGTAGTCTCGAAGATTTGTTTCAAGATATCCTCAGTTACCCGGGGGTCAAGACCACCAACATACAGAGCTCTTTTGTTTGGCTCTGGAGCAGCCCGGCGCACGTACCCGCCGGCGCTGGTTGGGGACATCATGTTTCCAGACATCGGAGAGGTGATCGCCGTGGGAATAGGATTGGTATTCTGCGGGATCACAACCGGAGGGCGAGGGGGCGGCGGCATATGGGAAGGGTTGGCCTGGCCGTTGCCCTGAGTCCCGTCGTACTGCTGACCTGGGGCAGCAGAGGTCTGCGGAGGCGGAGGGAGAGTCGAAGGAGTTTGGGTGGGTACGTTATCAGCCATTGTTGAAAGATCACAAGCCGCAATATACAAGGAAACTGATCACTGAAACAATATAATGCACAAGTCAATGAATGTTGGTAACGCTTAATGGGTGAGTGTGAGTGGTGAGATCTTTTGAGGACGGGGCGATGCAGAACGTTACGCAGTCACCGAATCGGTTCAAGGTCGAAAGGCGGAAAGCGACGCGGGGATCTAACGCCCAGAAGAACAAAAAGGACAAAACAGGGAAGAAAAAAAAGGGAGAAAAGGGAGAAGGAAAAGGAAATTAGTGGAGCATACAAGGAAGCACAGTCGTTAAAACTAACGACAGGAAAAAGAAAAGAAATTAGAGAAAGGGTGAGGCAACAGCTTCGTGACGGATGAAGAAGCGCTAGAATCCAGACAGACTCAAAACACGGCTTTCTCCCCAACAAGTTAAACAGGTGGAAAAAAGCTTAAGATTCGGGGGATAAAACACGAGAGAGCTGGAGGAAATGGATGCAAAAAGAAATAGGAAAGAAAAGAGATAGGAAAGCAAAAAACAAAAGGGAAGAAAACCCCAATCACTCAGGTCTCGACGCCAGCGAAAAGTGCGATATGGACAGCGCGAGAGATGAAATGAAATGGAAACAGGGGAAAAGAAAAGCTGCGATGATCTGACCTGACGGGAGTCAATGGAGAAAAGAACGAGGAGTTTGGATGGTCAAGAGCCGCTTGGGGTGAGGGGCGCACTAAGCCCCTTTGCGTTAGTCCTCCCTTGACGGGTCGCTTTCCATTGAATCCATTCAGGTAAGGCGCTTAATTCCTCCACTGCTCATCAATTTGACCTATCGTTCAAAAATACTAGGCCAGGGTCCTTTGGTTCGCTCTTGTGGTAAGTAATGATATCCTTTCTCCTTTGTGCGGAACTTCAAAAGTGTTTACGATCTTACATCATCATGATTACTCTCCTCCTGGTCCTTTTATTGGTATCGTGTGGTCTCAGAAACCAGTAGTACCTACCTGCCTGGTACTCCCGCATCGTGGGAGTGTTATTGGCGTCACTACGTTTGATCTATCTCCCGTCTCTTTCCAGGTTTTCAGGGACCCCTGTTACAACTTGCGTCAGCTGCGGACCTGTCTTGATCAACTAACTGAACCCCTTAGGGAACCCCTTAGCCTCAGAGTAGTTCGTATCTTTTGCTTTCATCCAGTCATCATCCTCCAGCAGATTACATCCAATACAACGCGACACTGCCACAGCGTCTATGGCTACTTCGGATCTTTCAAATCCAGATTCTCTGGCTGTTTTAACGGCAATGGTTAATCAAACGGTAATGCCCTCATGGACCAGTTTATTGTAGTACAAAAGCACTGATCCTGGCCAGCTTATCGAAACCGGCCGTTTTTTTCGATCAGGGGGTTCTACGCAATCCAGGGCCCAGCTCAAGCGCTCGATTCCTGTTGCTCATGAGCAGTTTCAAAGCGCGCTGGATAATCTGTCCGAGCAGATCGTATGTGTTTTTCTTTTCCGTAGACCAACGGAGGGCATATGGTATGTTGATCTTACTGACCGACATTAGTTCATTGCCAAGACATTCCTGGAAAGGGACTACGAGGCAATTGCAGCCCAAAAGGCAGCACTGCAACCAGCCGAAGATGTTGTTATGAGTCAATTAGAGACCGTACAAGACCCCGAAACTGCGCCACAGGCGGAGGCAGCAGCGGTTGACGCAAATCAAGTCCAATCAGAACCGTACAAGGCTGACACCATGCAGTCACACACAAGCGTCGATGCCAGTCAGCAGGACTCCAGTGAAACCCTTGTGAAAGAAGAGAAACCAGCCGAGTCTGGCGTGGCTGGTCCTAATCACTCTCAGTCTGGGCCCAGTGAGATCAATTTTGATTCAGTGCTCGATGATACTGGCGGGGCGAATGACTTTGATCTGAACTTAGACTTTGGGGATGACGACCTGGGGAACGAGAACTTTTTGTCGGGATCCAACCTTGGTACTACAAATACGACTGGTGCCGCCGAGCAGGAGAAGGGGGTTGACCAAAGTGAGAACACGACAACTGAAGTCCCTGGGTTGGAGAATGGTGCTGCCAACATCCCAACTGGGGGAGATATGTTCGATCTAGA